GTTTCAGTCGTTGCGTTTTTATATTTTAATGTTCTCGTTGTATCATCTTTTTCCTGTCAGTTATCACTCAACTTAACTGAATTAAACTTAATTTAAAATTGACTTTTAGTTTATTTTCCTGTTTTTACTGTACTTATTGTTTTAAAATTATGATTTAAAGTCCTAGTCCACTAGCATCCTCATTGACATTTTTCCCTAAATTTTCACGTTATGAAATATGTTTAAATTTTGTATTGGCTGCATCTAATAATATCAATGATATTTTCAATTTAAACATAGATATGAAATAATACAATATAACCTTCAATAACCTCAATGATATCATTGTACTGGGTCATCAGGTCAATTCAGTCAAATAACTGCCTGTAGTGTCTTTAAATGTCCAGCAGGTGTCAGTATTCTGTGACACAGTATCAATAAAGGATCAATACAGTTTGGCAATGAAACGCTCCAAGATGCCTCATTAACCCATCACTGCTTGAAGATTTATCATCCAAAAAAGATAAACAGAAGCGAAAATCCAAAAACATAAATCCACAAAATGCTCACAACAAGTGGGCGAAGAACTGACGACAAACCAGCAACAGTGACTGAGCAGGAGGCGCATACATGGGAGAGAGAATCAAAGCAGATCAGATTGGGAGCAGCTGTGAACAGAGGAGACTAGAAGGGAGTCAGGTGAAGGAGACTGACACAAGAGGGCGACAGAGGGCAAACAAGAATTACGCAAGAACTCAAAAACATCCAGAAAACACAACAAAATAGGAATTAAACCCATAAAACTAGAAAACAAAGAAAAAATGGATCAAAGGGAAACTGAAAACTCAAACGGAACCAAAACCGTGAAATCCATCCATTAGATTCACAAGATTCATAAGAGTTTTGTTCATAAGATCAGAAAGATTCATAAAGCCAGCAATGTCCACAAGATGTGTATGGTCCATAGGACTCAAAATATCCAAATGGTTAAGATCTATAAGAACCATGCATCCATCTTGTAGATAGTTGAACTTATGAAAATCCAACAGATCAATGAGGTCCATCATTTCAATTCATTTAATTTTTAAAGCACTAATTCACAACACGCCATCTCAAGGCACTTTCCAGAGACAATTCGATCAAGTGATACAGACTTGTAAAAATATTCCTATCTAAAGAAATCAGCTGATTGCATCAAGTCATTGAATTTACAGGATTCATTTCTCAGCAGCACAGCTGATATTTCTCTCCAGGATGGAGTCACAGCCAAACAGGAACAGACCAGATGAAGCTACTATGAGAAAA